TTTTTTGTTCAATAACTGATTGCAATTTTGAAATTACTTGTCTTTATTTCAATCTTACTATAAAAACTTCCATGCGACCTGCTTATGAAATATATTCCATTTGTACTACTTTGTATGAATATCCCTCAGGTGTCCTGTTGGTTCGATGTTCTTTTTTACAACCGGCAACAGTCTGTATATGAATAGCCTCTATCTGAATGTGTTTGTATTTTTCTCTAAGACACATTTCCGTAAAATTCTCTGGTGTTAGTGTATTATTTTGGCCAATCAGCGTTTTACGACCACCCGCGGGGTAGTAAAACCATTCGCGACCTACCTTACCGTAACCAGACGTACTTTGTTCACATTTTGCAGCTTTGCTTTGAGCATGGACTGGCTGATTTTTATAAAATTCTGAAATGTAAAGGAAAAATATATATAATTCAGATTTGGTTTTAAGTCGTCAAACGTGAATTATTTATTATTATCACTAAAATATTTAAATATCTAGTTTATATTTTAATAATTATTATAATATTCAACGTTTACACAATAATACTTTAAATTATTGAAATAATAATTTTTCAATTCAATTGCAAAAATTTCAACAATATTTACTATTATTTAGAATTTAAAACAAAATTTATTAGTTTTACCATTTTTATTATATTAATTAATTATATATGGCTTTAATTTTTGAAATCGAAATAGTTGGCGATGCTCCTGGTGGGATGGAGACGCCTAATAGTTCTTTCAGATTCACTCACATTTCTGTGAATTAGTCTATCTAAAATGATTAAAACTAATTTTTTTGAGAATATTTTTTATACAGTGTTTATAAATAATGGTACCTTTAGTTGTTATTGTATATAATTCAAAAATCTTTTTAGAATGACACAAACATCGTACTTCACCAGGAAAGCTATTATACTCGTATTTCTTATGCGTAGTAAAAATTCAATAATATTTTTTTCGTAAATACTCTAATTATAACATATTATTTTCACGTAAATTAATGCTATATAGATACACTGTGAATGAATTTTGGAAAACAAAGTTTCAGATAGAGAATAATTATTTTATAATTAGTTACAATGGGATATTTAGCAATATATATATGCATATATGTGTATATGTATACATGTTTGTGGTTTTCTATCTTTTAATTCTTGAGTTTTATAATAATTTAAAGTATTCTACATCCCTTATTGTCTTCGATATCTTGTAAAGCATTTAATACGTAAGCGACTGCTGCGGTTTTGCTTCGCAAAAACTCCATTAATTTTGTGCCGTTAATCGGATAATTTATTGAGAGTTTATCTTCGCCGGAAAATTATCGCGTAATTAAAGGAACATCATTTGCTATTATCAGTGGAATGATTTATGAGAACGCGGTTCTCGATTCGTGCGAACGCGTTCTTGCGGTTTTGGTGCCACAAGAAACGAATCCGGATAGATAATATTAGGAGTAAAAAAGACCTAGCTCACTAATTTCTAATGCAAATGGGTCAGTTGAATATTGAGTTTAATAGTGAATACCTTGAATTGGATAGGAAGAAATCCGTATCATATCGATTGTAATTGAAAAGTCTTTAATAAAGTCATAACTTTGAAAAATAAAATTTATGCCATATAAAAGTATAATTATAACAGTAGCTTTATGCACAGAATATGAAATATTTATATTAACATTTTTGCCATGAACGATAAGAAAAAGCTGGGTAATATACATGTTTTGTCCTCATATATTAAAATAAAATATCTTATTGGTTACTTGACAGTAATCGAAAACGTATTATGAAAACAAAATACTAGATAATATATAAGACAATGAGGAAGTAGATCAAGATTTAAAATAAAACCTGAAGATATTTGATGATGGTATCATTGAAAAATCCTTGGAAAAAGACACGAGAAACCACTCATTGCCGGATAGAACCAATTTTTATTCTGAAATATAAAGTTGAAATGTATATGATTGCAGTAGTAAACAACAATTTTCACTTACACCTTTGAAAATCCAAAAAATTAATGTGGCTCGCAAACAAAAAAATTTCACAATATTGAATTTAGATCTGGACTCACAAAACCTAAAGAAAACTAATAACACAAAGAATTTTTATAAAAAGTATTGTTGGTTATCATTGGAATTTTCTTCTCCGATTATTTCGATTTCGACTCTGGGTCGTATATATCTCGGATAATTTTCCTGGCGGATTTTCGCAGGGACGTCACATGTTTAGGACACCTCCAGGAGCCCTAAAAACCTACACAGCCAGCACGTGCTCATGTCGTCGATTTCACACACATAAACGATTTTAGAAACTCTACAGTATCACAAGTCAGTAGCACCATTTACAGCAGCCGCACTATCCACAAAACACACAGGGCTAAATCTGAAACAATAATACCGCCAGTCAGTATAAATAAGGGTCAAGGAAAAGGTTTACTAATTTGGAATCAGATAATATAATGGTTACAGGTTTATGAAAATTTGTTTATCATTATATTTTGAGATAAGTTCAGCGTCAATGTCAGAACTTGTAAATTAATATTTCCATTATCAATTGTAAATACATGCAGGGCCGCGCCTGGTCAGCGTGCAGTGCGTGCAAATAGGGGAGGCCAAATAGAAAAAAACAACAAATTCAAAGGCCGGCCATAACAAAAAGTGGTCGTAAAAAATTACTGTCGCATTAAAAGTCTACTGAATTAAAAGGCGGCCAACTCATTCGCTGCCGTATTGAAAGTCCGCTGTATATATTTAAAAAACCACCGTACTAAAAATCAGCCAAAGGCGGCCGTATTTAATGCGAGATCGAGATCGAATTAAAAACAGGCAACTCTAAGCTCTGTTCACAAATAATTTTTAAGTGAATAAACTTTGTGTAAGTGGCAAGTTGCGTAAACTCTCCAACATGTGTAAATAATCGACTTAAATATGAAAAATATATTAATTCAAGAGTACATTGCAATGTGAAAAACTATCGCAGATTATTAAATTTTGTAAAAAAATTCCTAAAAATGTTAGTTATTTTTTATAAATAGTTTAAAAATTACATATTATAATTATTGAACAAACTGGAGCAAAATAAATTTGTCAATATGTGATCAAATAAAAATCAATTTTATTAAAAATTCACCACCTACCGTGGTTGACCAATTCCGTGATGTGTCCCCTTGTAACATTGGCGACCCACTGATTCATAATGGCAGCACTATCGTATTTGGTGACAGTACCATCACTGTTACTTTTATTTATGTAGGCAGGATTTTTGGCCTGGAGGAATAAATAGTATTAAAAATATAAGTAATATTAACAATGATTGAATGTATTCACCTTTAGTGAAGCTATAATTTTTTCTGCACGTTTCCTGTTGCTCTGGTAACTATCAGGAAGAGAGAGTAGTCTCAATGGCCTGCAGTAATATGAATTTGAGAAATATATAATTATTTTTACAGGCATAAAAAAGCTAAAGTTATGCAACGTATATTTAAACAAGATTTTAAATTTATGTATAGCATAGTATTACAGTGTGTATATATTTACTTGCGTTCTTATATATACCAATAACTTTATAATGTTTGGGATGTGTATGTGTGTGTGTTTCAATATATATCTAGTATGGTATTTTCACATTTTTAAAAATGAATTTTTAAATTTTCTATATTTTGAAAATTGGTTTTATTTTATTATGAACACCATTTAAGCTGCTTGAAGAATATTATCAAATGTATACATAATTTTGAATTGTGTAGTTCATATTATGATCGCAGTAAATTCAGATTTGAAACTTGTTTGATAAATGAAAATTCTGTTTAAAGTTTTGTTTCATTGTAAAACTTAACTAACTGATTAAATCAATATGTAATCACATAGATTAATGTACTAAATTTTTTATAAAATTAGTCTTAAGTAGTTATAAAATAATTAATTATTGAAATACACTTGTAAAAATTGTAATGATCAATTAAAATAATCATAAAATGTAAAAAGTAGTATTTTGGTGACGCATCAACAATCACATTTAATAACGTATGTATAATCAACTAAATTCAATAATAATTTGTGTATTTTGCAGGTGCGGGTAGGTTTGAGTTTGCTGCTACCAGAGTCCTTCAGTATTTATACAAACATTGTTACTGTGACGCTCTGAATATGGTATTTATTGGAATTGCATTTGGCACGAATAGATTTATTAAGCGGTGATTTTGTTCAAGATATTAATTGATCAATACTTTAGTTTTCACTATAACTTTTAAAAATTTACAAAATCATTAAAGCATTGAATTTTATGATTCGAATGATCACTTGCACGATATGCCTTGCATGTGGGTTAATTTATTAGTTAGGTAACATCAGTAGTTTTATTATTAATAATAATAACTAACACACTGTGGGGATCAAGCAGGCTGGACATGATTGTAAAAAACAATGGTACTTGTCATGTATATTTCTTGTTACTAATTCATTGTTTTTTTTCATAGGGTAAACGACAACTTCAAGCCAAGTAGTCTTCCAATCTCAAGTTACTCAAGACTTGTTCTCCAGCTAAAATAGTCGCTCGATCTACTAATTATGCCCTCCCAAGTAACTATCTTCGTCAGAGAAGGTGTCTGCAATGATATATTGAATAGTTAAGTGCGTAGATGTTAATGAAATAATGAATAAATATATTGTATTCAATTTAATTATGAGCCACTTTACGGCCAAATTACTTTATGCTGTAACGTAAATTACAAAATTATTTAAACATATCTGAATTTTAAAAATTTCTTGTGTTATTAATGATACTTATTAAATGCACTATTTAGTGTAGACAATTACGTAAAGCAGCTTGTTTACTGCGAGTGCCTTAAACATTTAATATTTTGAACCGATGTTATCTCTTGTTTAAATGTTATACTTTCTATTATTTCTTTAAATGGTGCACTCTTTTTCTTAGCTATAAGCTTAAATTAATATCATACTGTGTTATATATTATATAATCTATAATATATATATATATATATATATATATGTATTTTAGCCATTTTCATTATTGCAATTGTAAGAATAAATTAATATAATTGTATCATTAAATACTGTGATATATTGATTAAGAATTTTGAATAAAACTAACTAAACTTTAATTGGAGTGTTTCATTTCACACAATTTTCAGTGATATATATTAGAAACATAAGATACAGGTACAGGTATTATAAACTGATAAGCTAATGTTATCATAAACATTAATATACTCATTAATTCGTTCTTCGAAAAGGATTTAATATTTTGAACAAATTTCATATAATATAATATTTGTAATCTATTTCTATCAAGATCAATAAACTTAATGTAGTTATAACTTTGATCATTTTAAATAGACTAATCTATGGTTTTTTACTCATTTCAAACATGTCGAAAATATTAACATTTAATCTATAATATTATTTAAAGTTTTAATTAGTTCATTTTAATTAATATACCTTAAATATTGGTCTGTTTTATTTAACTATAACTTATAGTAAAAAATATTCAAGTTCTCACTCTTGTTTTATTTTCTTCTTTTGCACAAGAATATCTTCATTATTATTATAATATCTTTTTGTTTACTAGCGTAATTACTACATTAATTGTATTAATTTCTCCACCACGTTTACGCTACCACCTCTTTCCTTACTTTACACACTACCTTACCTAATGCTTATCTACGTTAAGAACTGATACTTTTACCTTGCTTACCTTACCACGTCTCGAACCTGCTACCCTGTCCTCTGCATCGACTCCCACCTCTTTTAAACGTAAAAAACTAACAGGTCATATGGCAAAAAAAAACTGGATTGGTGTAGTCTGTGTTGGCGTAATTGGTGCAGTGATGGCTTCGTGCCAAAAAGGTACCTAGTTCGAATCATACCTCAGGACAAAAAACGGATAGCATTAGTGCTGTTCGCGTTGAGGAATTTATTTATTGTAAGATAGCACAAAGATCAAATTTAGATTCAATACACAAAGAGATCATGAGGCCGAAAAAATCAGATTCGGTGTGGCCTGTGTTGGCGTATGCTAGAGTGCAATGTAAAGTAGAAACAATAGTCTTTGGATATGTGATTTGAATAGTTTTTGGATTGCTATACATTTCAAATAGATCCATTCACTTTTTTGCATTCACGTTTAAATTTAAAGTTTGAATTTCGCGCTCTAAATTATACTACTGACGACAAATATTTTGACACATGTTGGTAACTTCAAATACATGAATTGTCAAATAGATTTTCGTGAATTAACAATGAGTTTTTAATTAAATCCTTGAGTTTAGTTTTATTTAATTTATGCATCAAAACGTGTAATTAATTTAGTAGATCATTTTGATATAATAAAATTATCGTGAAACGTTAATTAAAAGCCGAAAAAATGGATATGCGTGGAAGTGCCTAGATGTAACTTGAATCGCTTGATAAGTGTCTCAATTTTGAATCAATTTTATAATTAAACAATTCCAGCGCCTATGTATCCATTAATTATTTACATGCAATTATCAATAGTATAATTTATATATGTGCTTCTGTGGGTTATACTTAGTGGCGTAACTATAGGGTAACGTGGGTGGCAAAATGCCACGGCCTTCGACCTAAGGGGGGCCCGGCCCAGGAAACTGCGGACTCGGAAATACATTTTTAAATTGTACATAAATTTTATTTCTCTTGAAACTTATATTTTATATGTTTTAAGTTTAAAATCGGAGTTAATTATTCGACCAGGCTTGCATCGAACTTATATTCGGCCGAAGATCGAATAGTATCAGTGGCGTAGCATGCCTTCGCAGGGCCTCTTATCAAAATTTGTTTGGGGGCTCCCTTAAGAAGCAATATTTTATCACAAAATATAAAAATACATAAAAATAGAAGAATAGTTATTTATCATTCTAATGATTTTTCTATCTAATTTTCTATAATTTTCTGAATTTTTCATAAATGATTTCAGATAAAAATATCCTCCCCTTAGCTTTTTTTCGAAAAATTGAATTGATCTTTAGATTTTCTAAAGTTTCTGTCTCTAGAAACAATAGTGACTGGTCTGGTAGAAATTTTGTCCTAAAGTTTTTACGTATTTTTTTTTTAATTTTAATATTGAATATCATCGTATTCGTGAAGCACATACAAAGTTAAAAAAACTTTTTCAAATATTTTGCAGCAGAAATAAATTCTTTTAAAGCATTAGTTTACAAGTTGAGGTTGAATACCTCTTGATAACAAAATGAAAGGCTAACTACGTCCAAATTATTTATTTTTTTATGAATCATTGTTTTGCTTTAGAGTTTTCATCAATTTCAGCTTACGCTCGTTGAGCCCCTCTGGCCCGGGGCCCCGTATTTTTGATACGGCTGATACGGCGGTAGCTACGCTCCTGCTCAATATTCAAAGAATACATTATTGTTATAGTTATGTCATTTAATATAAATCATTTAACGGCTACGTGCATGAGTTATATGTATATACAATGAAGTCATTTATTATATTCAAAGCCTTTACTAAATAAAGAGCTACCTTAGGTTTTTTATCGCAGAAAATACAAACATTATTTTTGGTCTTGAAAATTAAAAGTTTACTTTTAGAAGCAAATTATAATTCTGACATGTAGACTCCGACTAGTCTCTTTCTTAATTTTATTTATTATAATCGGTTCAACACATTCTAAACGAAAGGATTTTAATTCGTGTTAGAACACATCCACTGGTTTCTTCATATTTTTTCGCGTTTTTTTAACAATTTATGAATTTTCAATTATATTGGCCATGATATGAAAAGATGGAATATTTTATCAAGATTTGAATCTAATAACGAAATAACATTAAAAATATTTAAGCCTACTAGAGTTTGCACACTACAATTATTTTATTATTGGTTTTCCATTGTAATATTCTACTACTACTAATCTAAAACCACTGATCTTTCAAATGCTATAAATATTTAAAAAATTGTTAAGAATTAGAAAATTATTGACATGAATTTGGAAATTTAAAATTAGACGCCACTACTGTAGTAGAAAAATCAATCCCATTTTAAAACTCGTCACAGGAAGGTAATACCCTATTTTGACAAACTTTGGGAATTCATATTCAAGATACTGAAAGTTTGTTCAAAGTTTCATCGAGTATTGGACATTATTATTAAACAAATTAAATCTTGTTTCTTCTGATGAATTAATATGTTCCAAATTTATTTTGCTACAATAGGAGTTTGCAATGATATTGATCAATTAAAAAAAAGCTTTATAATTTGTTTAGATAAAAAAGACATATCAGAAATTCAGAATAAACAAATTTTAAAATACTAAAATTAAAGTGATAATTGTTTCAAATTTTTATTAAAAAATACGTTTTATTTTATTTTTTCATTTGTTCTAACGTTGAAAATATTCACCAATATTTCATGTTTGATTTTCAAACAAAATTAAGTTTTATGTATTTTTTGTTAATTTTATATGATTACGACTAAATTATAATTATACCTTTAAATTAATACTTTACTTTTCTACCTTTTGTATGATTTCATGATTTAAAGCCATAAAATATAAATTAGTTGAAGTTCGTTTGCTAATTGTGATAAAATTTATTAAAATTGTTTTAGCCAATAGTAAAACAGCGTGTAAATGACTATTAACGTTTATTAAACAAAATTAGATAAATTAAAAATTGAGTACCACGGTAGGGCCCCATCGAAAGACTTTGCCACGGGCCCTGGAGGGTCAAGTTACGCCACTGGTTATACTAGAGTACTTCCACCACATATCTGTTGTTATCAAATTCTAAATTCACAAAAGTCTCTGAGTCGTGTATTGTGTAAAGACTTTACTCAGACAATTGCAACATATCAAATAAACTTGTAAAAGACTAAAGCTATGCAGTGGTTCTAAAGTAGTGATTTTGTGTCGAGTACTTGAGATTTGCTGCAAAGGATTTTTAACATGTAAGTGCAAAGCATGTTTTATACAAAGCGAGTCAAAGAATATTCTTCTGGAATTATATACAGGCATTTATCATACCATATCTGTTGCACCTATAGCGTTTTAAATATTCAATATTTAACTTATATATATATATATATATATATATATATATATATATATATCATTAAGTTTTTCTTAATGTAAAGCATTTACATCAAATAATTTATTTTGAGATTTGATTTATAAATCTTTATTTCGATACAATATTGTTTGTCATCTTCAATAAAACTATGATTTGAACAGAAAGAAATAATAAGATATTACTTATAATTTATTTTCTGAACAGAGTTTATAATTATTGACCGAGTTCTTATTACATGCTACTTTTTATGCTTGTATTAATAATATTTCTTATTAATTATATGTTTAATGCTTGTTTTTCATATTAAATGAAATAAATAAATAAAAATTTATTTGAAGATGCTTTGAGAACTTGTCCCTTTCTTATCCGATATGATTTACAAAGCAACCTGTATATATTTTTGTGGAATATTTTCTGGCTTGTGCATTATTATTATTTTGCATGCATATATCTGCTGAAAATAATGTTAATATTTGAGTCAATATAATTTTTTGTTACTTTATTAATTTTTAATGCATAAAATACAATTTATTTTTGGTTTATTCATCT